AAGATCGGGGAAGACCTCAGTTCATGTGAGCTATCAGGGATATGGGGGTCGATCATCGTAAATTAGCATTTCCCGAACAAAATGCGTGTTCTACAAGAGCTAAGGTTGGACAACTTCGACAAATAAAGAAGAAGGTACATGATATGATACTATCGATCGAGAACTTGGCAGTAGTTTTGTGGATCAGAAAAATCGAAATGTAAATCACTAGCAAAGAAAATGATGAAAATGAACGTTAAAATTTCACCCCCCCCCCAAATAAACAAAATTCATTACGGACTTTTTGCTAAAACGTTCTGTTTTGTGAAAAACCGATAACTTAGTTAAAATAAAAATCAATTGTGCTTAAAAGATAGGGGAAGTAAATAAAGAAATAACTTGTAGCAGTAATCCTTATATTTCAAGTAAAAAGAAAATTTTAAATTAGAAAATGACTAAGAACAAGTCTTAACTGAAAAAGATCGATTGCTTAAAGAGATTTTCACCTGATATTATATTACATCACTCAGTGAAACAAATATTCTAAGATATTTGTCGCATTACGACCTGTATATTTATAAATTATCTATTCTAAGACAAAGATTGTGTCAAAATTATAACACAAGTGTAGTACTTGATATAACACAAAAGTTTGAAGTTGAAATCTAGAAAACGACTTTTAAAAAGCTTGCTTTACGTTTAAAATCGTTTTCTCAAAAGTCATGTTTTTTATATTCCATAGAAGCAAATCGTTTTTTAATGAAATTTTACATTTGAAGATACTTTGTCGATATACAATAGAGTAATATAAGTTGTCAAAAGCTAGCAACCAAAGTTAACCCATTAAACAAAGTTAACTCACTTAAACTATCTTTATTTCTCACGTTGAACCTTTTTTGTAACAACCCTCACTAGAGCAATATATTCTAATTCCTCAAAAACTGAAGATTAAAACTCATTCTAGAAAATATACATTCTAAGCTTTACTAGCAGTCAGAATAACACTATAGCGCACACGACGTAAGGTCTGTAATTAAAAAGTAGCAACCATGTGACAAGAATGCCCAAAAAATGAAATGCCACTACAAAACGTAAACAAAACGGAAGGACTCGCTAATTTGAGTCTGACTACCACTCTGCCTAACTCCATGCTTAAACAAACATATCTTTGTCACAACCAGAAAAAGAAAGACAAAAACTGTAAGTGGCATATGGGCGACGAAGGAAAAAAAAAAGAAGAATAGTATCATTACAGGATTTAAAGTGTTTTTTCCAATCCTCTAATTAGTTCCACAGAAAAAAGGGTCAAGTGTGAATAATACTAGCTGTGCCACCAACCGTATCAACTGTCTCCGCCCCCACAAGATATTATTTGCCAGAAGATTTCCGATAGCGTTTTGTTCTTGTAAGGATACCAATTACATTGTTCAACTAAGCATTGCGCACAAAAAAACAATACCTATCAAAGTTACTTAAAAAAACGTTACCATATACATAGTTCTAAAGGTATCTTAATGATGTTTCGAAGATTGGTAGAAAAAAAATATAGGAAAAAACGGTAAATATAAATTCCGAAGATGTACAATAAACAAGATGTTTAGATGGCTTTGATGAAATAGGTTAGGAATATTTTTTCTCCTTACGGCAAAAACGTTACCATAGCTGCCAATATGAATATGAGAAAATCCAGTAGATTATACGAAATATTACAAATTTCATGATAATTGTTACATAATCAGGGGTCTGTTCAGAAGAAAATTGGGTCCGTTAACGGACCCTTCACAAAATATCTTTTCATAAAAACGGACCCTTCACAAAATATTTTAACTTAAAAACGGATCCTTCACAAAATAATTTTTTTTTAATCGGACCCTTCACAAATTTGTTTATCTTCATTATTGTTTTGTTAATCGAATAAACCCTTCCCAGGGCAGAAAACAAGAAAGATGGATGTAAACGAATTAAGTTTTGTCTTCGGCAGACGATTCTTCCATTATTCGTCCGAAATGAATATTCTGCGTTCAGCAGTATAGGCTAAATACCAAATATTTGTGTGTTTCACCTCTAATTTAGAAGCAGCAATTGCTGTTTATTTTTGAAAATTTAATTTTTTCATTATAATTTTACAGTTTCGAGCATAATCTTGTATCTATTTACAATTTAAAAACTCATTGAAAAAGTGTTTTGCAAAAACGGACCCTATTTGCACAAATTCATAAAAACGGACCCTGGTTGAAAGAATGTGAGTAATTTTTTCACAATTTCACGAAAAACGGACCTTTCACAAAATGTCTGGACAGATCCCTGATAATGTTTTAAATATTTTATACATAAGGAATTTTTATCGTAATCAAGATAGAAAACTGCAATATTTTCCTGTTATGACATTAAATATACTTAGAGGCCCGCTTCATTATGTATTAGTAATATTTATTTAAATATTTAAGCAAGCAATAAAATCTATTTCAATAGGAATTTTTTACGACACTTACTCAATTTAAGGGAATTTTCTAAAATGTACGAAAACCAGGAGAATTTTTATTAAATCAGTAGACCAGGAGAAACTGGCAAAATCCAGTAGAATTGGCAGCTATGCGTTACATATAAAACAGACGAAATTTTTTTAAAATAAAAATATCCACATATACAATAACGATTATTTTAAATTATCTACTTTTAAAACGTTCCATTTTAACTATTGAATGGTAAGCGTTGAATCGTTTTAAGGAAAAAAATGTCTGGAAATTTTATTCAAATTAATTTCGAATTTATTATAATTCATTCCTACATCCAACCTACATTTATATACAACCTAAACTAAACGTTTTTAAATTCTTAAAATTGTAAAAATAGTGTGCAATAAATCTAAAGCAAACTTCATCAGGAATCTGAATTGTGTAAATAGCTCTCTGGTAAATGATCCAGGGCGTCCTGCAAATGGCTGCCCAATGTTCGGATACAAGGTTAATTTTCACAAATTCACTTAATGAGACCTATTACTAACCTCTTCAAATGTTTCCATCTTTTATTAATTATCCCCCTTAATGACCATTGCAAACAAAAAGCATATTATCAAGCAATTTAAATATATTGAGGTAAAAACCCTCAAAACTTCTCATTATTCAATAAATTTTCCCGTTAGAACGAAAAAGGAAACAAAGGGGACATTCAGAAGCAAGATGGGTGTTTGACGGGTCTAGGGGTCGTATTATAAATGTCCTGTAAGGGGCAGGAAATGACTGGACTAGGCGCCACGATTTTCGGAAAACTATACCATGAACTGTCTAGTAGGCGTGTTTGACACTGGATGCTTTGAAAGGTGCTTCAGTAAACACATCTGTTTTCGATTTTTTCCCCCTTGCTTAACGGTCATCAATCTTTCAAAATCTTTTTTGATCATTGCCGAAGTTATGGGTCATACAAATCCACGTCCAAAAGTATAAAATCCAAAAAATTCCAGCCATTTTCTTTTAAAGATACGGCAGAGAAATGCATTTATTTGTCTTTAAAAAAGTATACCTTTCTATTAAAATAACTATAATATCAGGTGTGTATTAATTGGGAACAAGGTAGTAATCCTGAGAAGTAAGTTTCATAATATGGTAACAAACATTTACCGAATTAAAGAAAAAAAAAAGACCACTTAAAAGAAAATACTAAAGATTGCACGGAACTTTAAATGAAACTTAAAATCACGGATTGTTATTTATTATTTAAGAATACAGAATCTTTAAGACGTTGGACGGGGGTCATCAAAGTGATCGATATCGTCCTTTGTAGTTCGACATAAATAAGGGATCGACGAATACCGATCCTATTCAACCTGCGATCGTATTTATGAGCGATCAAAAAAGTTTGGTGGCCCTTCCGTTATATCATCCCAGTTTTTAAGAAGATAAAGAGAAAAAAAATCCTCGAAATTATATCCTGCTTTGAAACAAAACCACGGCATAAAAATTCTCGGAACGGAGCTTTACAATAACTTAAAAACACGAATTGTTCTTTATTCTAACGGAATAAAATATTCTTAAAACATTAGAGGAGGGGTCATAAGTGATCGATACCGACCTTTTAAGTTCGACTTAAATAAATGAATACCGATCCTCTTCAATTTAAAATTTTGCGATCGTTCTGATGGGTGATTAAAAAAGTTTGGTGGCTCTTGCGCATTATCTTCTTTGTTTGGAAACAAAAAAATGCACAAAAATTATATTCATTATTAACCCTGCTCTGAAACAAATCCAAGGCATAAAAATTTTAGATCAAATGGAGGGCTTATACTTCCTCACCTGTTTATTTGCATTAAGATACATAATTCTAACAACATAATACTAAATAAATAACTAAATATTTCACAATCTTAAGAAGATTTTATGAAATCATACCAATAAAACAGTATCTATTCAACCAAGGACCCGGAGCTGTGTTTTTCCTCAAAGCTAAGGCCAGAGCTCTAAATTTTCCATGATCCAGGAATTTAATTGTATGCTCTCGAACAAAGTTGCTGGAGAAAAACTATTCTCAACATTAAAATACGCTAATAATGATCTAAGATCAAATATGAAAGATGATTTATTAGATTAAATTCATTTCTCAAAAATAAAATAACTAAGGTCCGAATTAAATTAAATTTGTATTTTTTGTAAAAGCTGATAATTTTTATATTGAAAATTTCAAATTAATATCTAAAACTGAAAAGCGCGCGTAAATAAAAATGAAACTGTCCGGAGCTAAACTTATTAACTAAGAACGGAGCTGGAACATTGAAAATTTTTCGACTCCGAATCCTTGTACTTAACTATAAACAATAAGGATTACTTAAATAAGTAATTTCAAATGCTTTTAGTTACTTTACCTATAATTAAATTGAATAAATAAATAAGAGAGCTTTAGATATATTGACGCAATTATTAATAATAATCTTATTGTATTTATCAAATCAAATATTTAATATTTATGAAATGCATTTTTTATTACATTATTTTAAAGAATTATTAATTTTTGCAATAATCGCTACTCACCGGCCGGAAAACAAAAACTCCAAGAAATATCCAAATATTTTACTGCAAACTCAATCACTGATGCTTTTCCATAACAAAAAGTTTGTAAGCTGGTAGTCTTTACAATCCAAAATAAATGAAAACTCACACTCTATCCACGGTGGTCCGATATATAGCATCATTCATGTTTTACAAATCACAGCAATTCTAAAACGAAACAAAAACAACGAAATCTCGCCAAGGGATCGGTGTTGTATTTGGTGAACGATCGTCTTGGAAGCCGCTTGTGGGGCAACAACGATATGAGTCACTCTGACCTTTTGTAAAGTGCGGGTAAGTTAAAGACAACTGAAAGACTCAGCTGCCGGCTTAGCTGGCTATCAACTGAATGAGCGAGCAGTCGTCCGCCATCCAATGGTGACTAGGGGGTGGGTCCTCAAGTCTCTGGTGCACAACGCCATCTATTTGAGAATTCTGACACTATTACCGATTCTTTTATTTCTCACTTCGGTCAATAGGAATTCGACTTTCATCAAACTCTGGCGCCTGCGCAAAATTGTTTTGAGGGGAAACGAAAGCCGGAGGCTGATGTTTCGGAACTTGGGCAAAAGAATAAAGCTTTTTCAGCTTTCAAACTTTTTCTAGAAATAATTAGAAATAGATGAAATACGATCGCAACACCTGAATGCTCTAATAATAGCATTTTATCAATCATCTCTGGAGAATATAAGAATTCAGAGAAAAAAATGCATAATTATAAAAATTGTACATTTTTTACACTCTTTAAGCCTATATCGTATCAAGGAATATAAATTATCGAATATTGAAAGTGTAATTCTATGAAAATTGTATATTTTTTTACACTCTTTAAACCTATATCGTATCAAGTAATATAACTTATCGAATATTGAAAGTGCAATTCTATGAAAAATGTATATTGTTTACCCTCTTTAAGCCAACATCGTATCAAGTAATATAAATCATCAAATGCTGAAAAAAAAAGTATTTGCATTAAAGGGCATTCGATAAGAGCTGTTTTCTAAACTTAATTCTTAATAAATTCAACTGAAATTTGTTTAAAATGATAGTCAATAAATTTGATTTGAATTTATAATATAAGAGTATAAAAAAAGTTGTCCAAATAAAAAATTTTTACTCCATTTTAACCTGCATGGCATAATTTGACTAAATAATATGAATTAGTCAGTATTAAAAAAAAATAAAAATATTTTAAAAGAGAAGCATTTGAGCTGAACTAATCTTTAAAATCCAAACAATCAATAAATTTGATTAAATTTGATCATTTGATTTGGATTTATAATGCAGGAATGGGAAAAAAGTATCTATTTGCTTATTGTTTACACTCGCCAATTGTATCATTGTTTCAAGTAATACAAATTATGCTACATTGGAAATAAATGAATAAAAGTATTTTCATAAAAAAAATTGAGCTGCATTGTTTTATAAGCTAAACAATCATAAAATTTTTCATTGTTAATATAGATAGAGATTTCCTCCAGACTGGATAATTATTCATAGTAAAAATGATCAAAATCAAGGATCTAGCTTTAGAATCTCATTGCCGTAGAGCTAAACAAGGAAGGTTTCCGAGGTTTTCTAGGAAGATTTCCGGGGTTTCTACAAAAAAAAAAAAAAAAAAAAAAAAAAAAAAATGATACGAATCTTGACTCAGGAGATTCTCTTGTCTTCTTTGTTGGTTACAAAATTTAAACGATATGCAAAAGGGGGTGATTTGTTTTTTATCTTGAGTCTCACGTTCCCGAAGTTCTCTTGGAACATCATTACTTCTTCTTTTTTCAATTTGCATCCTTGATCTTATTTTTTTTTTTCTTTTTAGACTTTGCGTCAGATATAGTTTATAGCATATTTTATTACTATAAGAAGGTATTAATAATTTTCTGTAAAAATCTATATAAATGTAAAGCTTTTTTTGAAATAATAATAATATTATTGCTCGTAAAATGAAAGCTAACACGGAAGTTTTAGACAATTTAAGGAACCATATTTAAATTGAGTACATTTAAACTAAAGTTTCAAGAAAAAAATGAAAAGTATTCACAATGATTTCACTCAAAAATGAAAGTTTTAAGAGATCTTAGCGAATCTTTTCAGAAGTCCTTAAAGTCATTTCAGGTTTTATGAATGCTTATTGAGAAAAAAAAAATTTTTTTTGCATAACCTCTATAAGAATTTATGTAAACCTCTGAAGATATAAGAATTTATGAAACCTCTATAAGAATTTATGAAACCTCTATAAGAATTTATGTAATCATAGCGGGATTTAAAAAATCTTCAGTTAACATTTAAATCACCCTAACGATTGATAAGGGAAAGCTTTCGATTTTAGTTGCCCATAGAAACTCTATATAATTTCATATAAAAATATATCATATTTAATGTTAGGTCATTGAGCTATTAAAATTGAGTCGTATTACATGAACATCCGATTATTTAATATTAAAAGTTATTCAGGGTGTTTCCCCTTTCCGCACTATACGTTTGGTTCTGTACTTTAATTAACATCATACTTTACCTACAGTTCGTGAAAGAAAATCATTTATACGAATCGAAATGTTTTGTTTTTAAGTTTCCTAATAGGTACTTTACCTGCGTCGCACTAGAGCTGCGCAATGAGCTACTGGTGATGGTCTGGGAAGCATCTCTGAGGATGATCCGAAGACATACGATCGCAATTTTTATCCTCTGCAGAGGGGATGGCTCCCCTGCGTTGGCAGCCAGACGACCAGAGCTTGAAATCAAGCACTTTAAGACAGAACAGCTTGGCGAGGACCAATGCAGCACACCCTAGGTCCCTTCGCAGGCTAACCAAAGTGGTCACCCACTTGCTTACTGATCGCAGCCAGTGATGTCTGACTTCAGTGTTCTACTGGGAACTGTGTCTTTACGATGCGTCCACTCCGTGACAAGTTTCTTAATGGAAATATTTTATTAACGTTTACTTTTAAGAGCTAATAATTTATTTTATATCTATTTCTAGCTTATTTTATATCTAATTAAGATTTATTGTTTTTAAGTTAATTAATGGTTATATTTTATTAACGTTTACTTTTATGAGTTTATAAAATTATTTTACATCTGTTTCTAACATATTTTATATCTAATTAAGATTTGTTGCTAAGTTCCTTAAGAGTAATATTTTATTAACGTTTATTTTTATGAGCTTATAATTTTATTTTATATCTATTTCTAACTTATTTTCTATCAAATTAAGATTTATTGTTTTTAAGTTAATTAATGGTTATATTTTATCAACGTTTACTTTTATGAATTTGCAAACTTATTTTATATCTGTTTCTAACATATTTTATATCTGATTAAGATTTGTTATTTTTAAGTTCCTTAATAGTAATATTTTATTAACGTTTATTTTTATGAGTTTACAAAATTATTTTATATCTATTTCCAACATATTTTTTTTATCTAATTAAGAATTGTTATTAAGTTCCTTAATAGTTATATTTTATTAATGTTTGTTTTTATGAGTTGGCAAACTTATATCTGTTTCTAACATATTTTATAGCTAATTAAGATTTTTTGTTTTAAGTTCCTTAATAATATTTTATTAACGTATATTTTTATGAGTTCATAAACTTATTTTATATCTGCTTCTAACTTACTTCATATCTAATTAAGATTTGCTGTTTTTAAGTTCCTTAATGATAATATTTTATCAACGTTTACTTTTATGAGTTTGCAACCTTATTTTATATTTGTTTCTAACATATTTTAAAACTAATTAAGACTTGTTATTTTTAAGTTCCTTAATAGTTATATTTTATTAACGTTTACTTTTAAGAGCTAATAATTTATTTTATATCTGTTTCTAACATATTTTAAAACTAATTAAGATTTGTAATTTTTAAGTTCCTTAATAGTTATATTTTATTAACGTTTACTTTTATGAGTTTACAAATTTATTTCATATCTCTCGCTTTAAAGAACTATTTCAGAATTTCATATTTTGTAAAAGATCTTTTGAAACTGAAACTACGCTTGAAGAAACATAGTTTCGCCTTTAAGAAGCGTCTTGAGTTTATGTATTTAAATAATGTATTATTTTTATTTATTCGTGATTCTTCGTTGGAGACATGATATATTTGCCCTCGCCAATGTTGACCAATGTGCTCTTGCTCTTTCCGCTTACGTTGGCAAGGTTGTAACAGGGTTTTTCAATCATCATTCTTTTTTGGCTTAAAAAGAAAGCTTTTTCCATCACATTCTAAGCGAACAGCCCATTTTTCAGAGACTGCTCCATCAGTTTTTTGATCAACGTCGCATGTTGATTTACATTCTTTCATGGCTTCATAACTCTTCTGTTACGGTGAAGAAAATTGACATACGGGACATATTCTGCATATATTTGTCTTTTTCTACCTACCTTGCATGAAAGAAAATAAGAGGAACAGAGGTAAGTTTTTTTTTTTTTTCCTTCTTCGCATTTTTTAAACCTTGGTATTGATTTGTTCGGGCTAAAGAAATTTACGTTAACAAAACTAAATAATATAAAAGCTGTGTATTTATTCAATATAAAGTTTTAAACGATTCAAAATAAAAAAAATAAAAATCTTTGAGCAACAAAGTTTAAGAAACTTTTTTTCTTCAATCGAAGGACAAAGTTTACCTTGATTCACTGCAAAAAATTACGGCATAATTGGCATAATTTAAAAAAAATTTATGATTGATTTTTTCCCGTAAAATAATTCAAATCAAAATACAAATTTACCAAAAATTGAATTATCTTACAAAATGGAAATTCAAATCGAGAGTCATTTTACAGTTGGGAAAGAGTAAATGAGCAATTAATGGGAAAGAAACAAGAATAGGTTAATTTTTGATAACTTCTTAGACTAGAGCAGTAATATAAGGATAAACCTGAAGCAACATTATGATATTGTCGCTAGAAGACATATTTTCTACAAAAATAGTTAGATGATAATATGCTACTTGCTACCACTTAATCTGTACAGAAAGAAAGTGTTTCGTCACGCGTTATCGCGCGATCTGACATCGATAGTAATAATCTTTATTTTACGGTAGTTTGTCTCATGCTTACGTAATCTCTTTTGTTGCTAATGCTTACATTATCTGCACTTATAATAATTCCAATTGGTTAATGCGACATATCTAACGGTAATTACTGTAATCGAATAAGATAGGCAGAATTAGTTTAAAAAAAATTCCTTTTGAACATTTTTTCTCAGGATCGAGGGAAATATATATTTTTCTTTTCGGTAGAAAAAATAATTCGCCAATACTTTCGACAAAACACAATTCTTTTCACTGAATTTACGATTTTATCGCATTTGGCAAGGTGGCACATGCTTAACAAGAATCCTTTATATACATATATATAAAAG